TATACAGTATTATACAGGTGGCCATATTATACAGTATTATACAGGTGACCGTATTTTACAGGTGGCCGTATTATACAAATGGTCGCATTATACTGTATTATACAGGTAGCCGTATTATACAAATGGTCGTATTATACAGTATTATACAGGTAGCCGTATTATTCAAATGGTCGTATTATACAGTATTATACAGGTGGCCGTATTATACAGTATTATACAGGTGGCCATATTATACAGTATTATACAGGTGGCCATATTATACAGTATTATACAGGTGACCGTATTTTACAGGTGGCCGTATTATACAAATGGTCGCATTATACTGTATTATACAGGTAGCCGTATTATACAAATGGTCGTATTATACAGTATTATACAGGTAGCCGTATTATTCAAATGGTCGTATTATACAGTATTATACAGGTGGCCGTATTATACAGTATTATACAGGTGGTCGTATTATACAGGTGGTCGTATTATACAGGTGGCCGTATTATACAGTATTATACAGGTGGTCGTATTATACAGTATTATACAGGTGGTCGTATTATACAGGTGGTCGTATTATACAGGTGACCGTATTATACAGGTGGCCGTATTATACAGTATTATACAGGTGTCTGTATTATACAGGTGGCCGTATTATACAGGTGGCCGTATTATACAGGTGGTCGTATTATACAGGTGGCCGTATTATACAGGTGGTCGTATCATGGCAGATGGACTGTATATCTGATTTGACCAACTGTTCTCGCTGGCGCTCATATGACCTTATGCAGTTGCGAGCGCCGTAAAACCTCTACGAAAACTAAACTAAACTGTTCCCGCGCAGGTACCAGATCTGTCGGTGACAGACGCGGACATTGACCAGTACGGGCCGGCCAGTGTCCGCTATGAGCTGGCCCATGAAGTCACTGTGCCGTTTGCCATCGATGCCACGTCTGGTGAGCTAACGGTCCTCCTGGCTACATCAGCTGACCGATCGGCCGTGCTGGACAGAGAGACCAGGGACTTCTATGACCTGCAGGTACCCGCCCCCTAGCTTTACTTACTTTTATGAACAAATCTAAGTCATTTTGAGGTCGATTTAACTCTTTAAACCATGAGTTTAATTTTCACTGTTTCCCGCGCAGTTTTTTCTACAGTCCCCTAAACATGGTGTACTATGTCTCATTACTTACTTGTACTTTGTACTTTGTACTTGTTCCTCCTCTGTTGCCGTTAAGCGTCGAGGAGAGATGCAGTTTTCTATGGTAGGCCAGCTCCGCAGCTCTTTCAGTTGTGATGTTATGTTTTCTCAGGGTTTCCTTGACACCCTCGATCCACCTTTTGCGTGGCCTTCCTCTTCCTTCATAGCCTGAGTGCTTGGTGTTGTAGGCTCTCGAGGCTGGCTGGCCAGGTGACATACGTAACAGGTGGCCAAACCATTTGATCCTCTGTCGTTCTATGTAACGCAGGCAGCACTCAGCGCCGATAGCTGCTCTTACTTCTTCATTTCTCTGCCCAAAAGCTTTCCTCCAACGTCCAAATGGCGGAGACAAAGGCTGAGTCGTTACTGAAAGAAAAACTGGGACCGGGATTAGTTCCCAAAAACAAGCAAGATCTAGCAGTAAATGAAACAACACAGTTGTCACTAGTACTGGACTCTCCCAGCGTCCCATGGGGTTTAAAGAGTTAACATTTCGTAATATTTATTAACAAAAATATGACAACATAATGCCTATACTATCTGCCAGCACTTCCTCCACAGGCAGATCTATTGTACAAGTTCCGTAAGAAACAATCAAATCCCATCAAATGAACCAAGCAACATATTATGAACAATTCGATTTTAGCACTTGGCAAGAACGAATACAAAACATCCGGTACCGAATGTGTAAACTGTAATCGACATCAGAGGACCACCAAATTACTTTACTCGACTTTACTTACTTACCTTACCTTACCTTACCTTACCTTACCTTACTTTACCTTACCTAACAAACCTTACCTTAACTTACCTTACCTTACCTTACCTTACCTTACCTTACCTTACCTTACCTTACTTTACCTTACCTTACTTTACCTTACCTTACCTTACCTTACCTTACCTTACCTTACCTTACCTTACCTTACCTTACCTAACTTACCTTACCTTACCTTACCTTACCTTACCTTACCTAACAAACCTTACCGTAACTTACCTTACCTTACCTTACCTTACCTTACCTTACTTTCCTTTCCTTTCCTTTCCTTTCCTTTACTTTCCTTTACTTTACTTTACTTTACTTTACTTTACTTTACTTTACCGATCCAGCGACCATCTGGGTTCTAGCCATTCGGTCTGTCGATATGGCAAAGAATTTACAGGTTTTAATCAGCTGTGTTTTGTCAATGTATAGAGTATTTCCAATATCTTGAGAGGCAGGTAGGTAGGTGCTACGCAGGTCGCTAAGTGCAGGGCAGGTAAAGAGGTGGTGTGGTACTGTTTCATCCTGGCAGTCACACAACGGGCAGTCGGGTGGGGTATCCTTGAGGATCCTATTTAAGTAGGAATTTAGTGGTATGTGTTGTGTTTGTAGGCGAAAGATCGTGACTTGTTCTCTTCTACTCAGGGAATTTATTGCACCTTTAGAGTTGGGGGCTGTCATGTGTGCAAATACAGTTCTTCCAGTTTTGCCCATTGCCCATCCATTGAGCCATTGTTCCCTGGTGCTGCATGTGATGATGTTCTTGGCTGTCTGTTGTGATACTGGGTTGTGTGGTTGTATTTGTGATGCTCCCTTCTTGGCAAGGGTGTCTGCTCTGTCGTTTCCTGGGATGTTGCTGTGGCCAGGTATCCACTGTAGTGTCAGGTCGACGGCATAGGTCTGTATGAAGGTGTTGATTGTTTGAGCCACAGATAGGCAGGCTGGGCTTTCGAGATTCAAGTTTTCCAAAGCTTGGAGTACTGACTTTCCGTCTGTGAAGATAATAGTGTTCTTGATTTTGTTTGGATATATTATGAAAATGTTGGTCAGGTGGAGGATGGCTGCTTCAATGGCGATTGCCTCAGCCTCGTAATTTGTACAAGAAGTACCACATGCGTCAAATAGCTCTTCACATGTTTTGTCAGGATGTTCAATTCTTACCCCAAAGCCTGCGTTTATAGTTGCCTTGAAGGCTGACCCGTCTCTGTAAACATGAATTGAATCACTAAGGTAGGAGTAAATTGTTTTGAGAGCTGTTGTCTTCAGTTCTACTGGCTCACATTCCTTTGTCACTGTCTCCTTTATGAGAGAAGCTTTGATTCTCATTCTCATTAAATTATTCTCATTATTGTAATAATCATTCTCTCCAGATCTTTGCTGTGGACTACTTTGGACGAGGTAGAAACGCGTCTGCGCATGTCCTGGTCAACATCACAGACGTGAACGACGAGGCGCCGTACTTTCTGCAGCCGGTCTATGAGTTCAACGTGTCCGAGGCCACAGCGAGGGGGCACGTGATTGGTCAAGTGCAGGCAGACGACAAGGACTTGCGCAGTGCCGTGCTCATCTACACCATGGACGACTCCAAAATGTTTTCTCTCAATCCACTCACAGGTTGGCCAATACTTTCTCTAAATCCACTCACAGGTTGGCCAATACTTTCTCTAAATCCACTCACAGGTTGGCCAATATTTTCTCTCAATCCACTCACAGGTTGGCCAATATTTTCTCTCAACCCACTCACAGGTTGGCCAATATTTTCTCTCAATCCATTCAAGTTGCAACTGACTGTAAAATGGTTCAACTGTTTATAAAATTGGTTTAACAGTCTATAAAATGGTTCAACCGTCCATAATAAGGTCCAACCGTCTAAAATAAAGTTCAACCGTCTATAACAAGGTTCAGCCGTTTATAATAAGGTTCAACATCTATAATAAAGTGCAACATCTATAATAAGGTGCAATATCTATAATAAAGTGCAACATCTATATAAGGTGCAATATTTATAATAAGGTTCAACCGTCTATGATAAGGTTCAACGTCTATAATAAGGTTCAACCGTCTATAATAAGGTTCAACCGTCTATAACAAGGTTCAACCGTCTGTAATAAGGTTCAACCGTCTATAACAAGTTCAACCGTCTATAACAAGTTCAACCGTCTATAACAAGATTCAATTAGGTTCAACCGTCTATAATACGGTTCAACCGTCTAAACAAGTTCAACCGTCTATAATAAATTTCAACATCTATAACAAGTTCAACCGTCTATAATAAGGTTCAATAAGGTTCAACCGTCTATAACAAGTTCAACCGTCTATAACAAAGTTCAATAAGGTTCAACCGTCTATAACAAAGTTCAATAAGGTTCAACCATCTATAACAAGTTCAACCGTCTATAACAAAGTCCAATAAGGTTCAACCATCTATAACAAGTTCAACCGTCTATAACAAAGTTCAATAAGGTTCAACCGTGTCCTCTAACAGGTAATGTGACGGTGGTCGGAATGTTGGATCGGGAGACACAGAGTGAGTACGAGCTGACCGTACGTGTGTCTGACGGGCTCAACACGGGCAACACCACGGTGCGCGTCCACCTGACAGACTCCAACGACAACTGCCCGGTGTGGGATGTTGGCAGCCTCGCGGTGAACGTCACAGAGAACCAGGCACCCAGCTCGCTGGACATTGGTCAGTTACTGGCGGTGGACGGTGACCTGGGGCCTAATGGTGAAGTCACATTCTTCATCAATGACACCTGTGAGTTTTTTATGGGTTTTTTTTCTTTGTTTGTTGTTGTTTTTTTGGGTAAGTGTTTTACGAGCTCGCAACTGCAATAGGTCACATGAGCGCGTGGAAAACATTAAATCTAAACATTTTCTGCCCCCTCCCCCTCACCTCCTTTGCCCCCTCCTCTGGCCTCCTGACTCTTTCTGTAGCCTTTCTACTGCTACTCCTTGGCTTCTTCTTTGTGCTGTCTTTCAGCCACACCCCTGATCTTCTGGTAGAAAAGATCTACACCTAGCCTTCTCGGACAAGAGCGAAAAATTTCGGAGGTCTCGTGTGCAAGTTGCGCACTTTAAAGATCCCTTGGTGTTCCAAAGTCGATAAGAGTAGGCTTCGGCTGCCACCCGGGCAAAATTCAAAATTTCCTACCAACTGAAAATGTTAAATGTGTCCCGCGTGCTCATACGATCTTACGCAGTTGTGAGAGCCGTAAAACACTTACCAAAAAAAAAAACCAACCACATTTTCAGTTGGTAGGAAATTTTGACTTTCCCCCGGGGGTTGGCCGAAGCCTACTCTTATCGATTTTAGGCCACCGAGGGATCTTTAACGTGCACAACGTGCACACGAGACTTTCGAGATTTTTTGTCCTTATCCAAGAAGGCTAGGTGTAGATCTTTCCTGAAGATCAGGGGTGTGGCAGAAAGACAGCAGTAAGGAGGAGTCAAGGAGTAGCAGTAGAAAGGCTGCAGAAAGAGTCAGGAGCCCAGAGGAGGGGGCAAAGGAGGTGAGGGGGAGGGGGCAGAAAGTGGAGACGAAAGCAGACGACAGAACATTGCTAGAGAGCAGGAAAGGAGGTGAAAGCAGACGACAGAACATTGCTAGAGAGCAGGAAAGGTGAAAGGAGACAATTTGAGAGAAGAACATTTTTCCGTTGCTACCCACATTGGAACCCGGGACCTTTGAATGAGAGGCGAACACCTTAACCTCTAGGCCACGAGAGACCCCCACTATAACAATGTCACCAATATATTATTAATTATTATTATTATTATTATTATTATTATTATTATTATTATTATGATTATTCATATTAATATTATAATTGTTGTTGTTTCATGCAGACTGGATGGATTTTCTCCACATTTCCCCGAATGGTTCGATCTTCCTGGGCAAGCCGCTCCCCCGCTCCCCGCCCCCGCCATATAGCGTGCCCGTGTACGCCAGTGATGGTGGTCTGGAGCCTTGCGTGGTGTCGGACCACCTCACTGTCGCCGTGATGGAAGAAAATGATTTTGACCCGGAGATTTGTTACAAAGGACAGTGTGGGGTGTCAGATATTGAGGTGAGTGCTTGTTGTTGTAGTTGTAGTTGTAGTTGTTGTTGATGTTGTTGTTGTTGTTGTTGTTAATGTTGTTGTTGTTGTTGTTATTGTTGTTGTTGTTGTAGTTGTTGTTGTAGTTGTAGTTGTTGTTGTTGTTATTGTTGTAGTTGTTGTTGTTGTTGTTATTGTTGTTGTTGTTGTAGTTGTTGTTGTTGCTGTTGTTATTGTTGTTGTTACAGTTGTGTTATAGTTGTTGTTATAGTTGTTGTTGTTGTTGTGGTTGTTGTTGTTGTTGCTGTTATTGCTGTTGTTGTTGTTATTGTTGTAGTTATTGTTGTTTTTGTTGTTGTTGTAGTTGCTGTTGCACGACAAGTGTGTTGGAAGAGACATGCCATACAACCTTCCCCCCCTCCCCCCACATCTCCCACACATCCCACAAATCCTCACACATCCCT